AAACGTATTAGTGTTTTCAACCTGGGGGTTAGCTGCATAGGTGTTCACTGCCGTGTTATACTCCCTACCTTACTTACATTAAAAATGTTATATCTATTCAATAATGATCAAAACAAGACAATGCACTTCAAACTCATGATCTTCATGTTAAAACTGTCCTTCCTCTGGTGCTCTTAACACAATGACTAACACTATCAGCCACTCAGTTGATCAATCCAGAAACCTGAAACCATCACCAAAACGTCCTTTTCTCTTGCTCCTCTTCTACATCCACTGCAGCAGCAAGTGGGTCAGTCTCCTCACTGTTTCATAAACTCTGTCTACTCCATTCTCTTCACCACTCTTGTCAAAGCTGCCATCTTATGCCTGAACAGGTGCAAGAGCTTCCTAACTGGACACCCAACCAACATTTCCTCCTAAATCAATCCATTCTTCTCTCACTTCACTCAGTGTGTACTTTCTTCCAGTTCTCTGAATGTGCTAATCCTTCTCCTGCTTCAAGGTTTCTGGGTTTCTGGTTCAGAGTGCTCCTTGCTTAAAATTCTTTCCCACTGTCCCTCCCCCCCGCAGCTCAAGTGTTATTTCCTCAAAGGAAGTGCTCGTGGACCCCCAAGGCTAGATGAGATCTGATGCCATTAAAGGACCCTGCAATATCCTGTAGTTTTGCGTCACAGCACGCATCATGGTTTGTAATTATATATTTATGTGATTACTGATTAATATCTTACTTTCCCTCTAGACTAGAAGTTCCACAAAGGCAAGTGCGGTGTCTGTCTTGCTCACCATAGGGTTTCCTTTTTTTTTAAAAAGGTTTTTTTTTAATGTTTTATTTATTTCTGAGAGAGAGAGAGACAGCGTGAGCAGGGGAGGGTTAGAGAGAGAGAGGGAGACACAGAATCTGAAACAGGCTTCAGGCTCTGAACTAGCTGTCAGCACAGAGCCCGACATGGGGCTCAAACCCATGAACTACGAGATCATGACCTGAGCTGAAGTCAGATGCTTAACCGACTGAACCACCCAGGCGTCCCTCCTTTTTTTTTTTTTTTTTAAAGATTTTATTTTTAAGTAATCTCTATACCCATCATGGGGTCTGAACCCACAACGCCGAGATCAAGAGCCACACGTTCCACTGAATGAACCAGTCAGGCACCCTTGCTCACCACAGTATTTCTAACACCCAGCACAGAGCACTGAACTTTGCATATAGAAAGGCTCAAATTATATTTTTAGAATGAACGAGGGAACTTATTAGTGTAACCACACTCTAGAAAATTAGTTTTTCCAATTATGAAATGGATGGATGGTTTTTTTAATGTTTATTTTTGAGAGAGGGAGAGAGACAGCACTAGTGGGGGAGGAACAGAGAGAGATACACAAAATCCTAAGCAGGCTCCAGGCTCCAGACTCTAAGCTATCAGTACAGAGGCCGACATGGCGCCTGAACTCACAAAGTGTGAGATCATGACCTTAACCGAAGTCAGATGCTCAACCACCCAGGTGCCCCTGAGCCACGTAGGTGCCCCTGAAATGGAAGGATGATTCTAATTGCTACCAAAGGGTCTCTTGAATCCCAAAATTTGTGTTATCTCCTTTACTCCCATATGTTCTATGCCCTTCTGCTCTCTCTGCCTCCTGCTGTACTACCCATCTTTGAAATTCCAGTTTTTCCAGGAAGAGTTCCTTGACTCCTGTGCTGGAAATGCACACTATTCCTATGGCATATCTTTTGCATTAGAAAATCTATGTCAGTTATTTGGGGACTTGCTGAGTTGAGAATTTCTTTTCTTGTGGTCACAGGAGGTTTGAGTTCTATAACTGAAACTGTTAAGTCTCTGAGAGAAAACACTAAGGGTCTAGATTTTCAGTTCACTGAGGGTAGAGGCCTTGTATCATACTCATTCATTTATGTAAGGTCGGCTTACTGGGTGATCTTCATTGTGAGGCAACAAAGTCGAGTAGCACAAGCATGCGTTTCGCACAAACATGAGTTTCGGAGTAAGACTTGGGTTAGAATCCAGCTTTGTCACTTATTGCAACTTAGTTTTGAACTCCTGAACAAAGTATATAACCTCTCTCAGGTTCCATCTGGGTATCTGTAGGTATGCTATGACTCCTATTTACACAAACACATCTTCTTAAAGCTTTGTTGCACTTGAGATTAGCAGTGCTCAGGGTTGAGGGTAGAGTCTGTGGTACCAGCCGCCAGGGGATGCTCTGTCAGATGATGGGAAGGGGTGGATTGTCAATGCCTGAAGGATGCTGCTGGCATTAAGAATGCAGGGGCCAGGAAGCCTACTAGAACTGATCCAAGAATTCAGCCAAGTTGCAGGGTACAAAATCAACATACAGAAATCGGTTGCAATTTTTTTTTTAACTTTTTTAATGTTTTATTTATTTCTAGGAGAGAGAGAAAGACAGCGTGACCAGGGGAGGGTCAGAGAGAGAGAGGGAGTCACAGACTGAAACAGGCTCCAGGCTCTGAGCTGGCAGTCAGCACAGAGCCCGACGCGGGGCTCGAACCCACAAACCGCGAGATCATGACCTAAGCGAAAGTCGGACGCTTAACCGACTAAGCCACCCAGGCGCCCCTCGGTTGCATTTTTATACACCAATGATGAAGCAACAGAAAGAGAAATCAAGAAACTGATCCCATTCACAATTGCACAAAAAACCATAAAATACCTCGGAATAAACCTAACCAAGGATACAAGAGATCTGTATGATGAAAACTATAGAAAACTTATGAAGGAAATTGAAGAAGACACAAAGAAATGGAAAAACATTCCATGCTCATGGATAGGAAGAATAAATATAGTTAAGATGTCATTACTACCTAAAGCACTCTACACATTCAATGCAATTCCAATCAAAATTGCACCAGCATACTTCTCAAAACTAGAACAAACTATCCAAAAATTTGTATGGAACCACAAAAGACCCCGAATAGCCAAAGTAATACTGAAAAATAAAACCAAAATGGGAGGTATCACCATCCCAGACTTTAGCCTCTACTACAAAGCTGTCGTCATCAAGACAGTATGGTATTGGCACAAAAACAGACACATAGACCAATGGAACAGAATTGAGAACTCAGAAGTGGACCCAAAAGTATACAGCCAACTGATTTTGACAAAGCAGGAAAGAATATCCAATGGAAAAAAGACAGCCTTTTTTAACAGATGGTGTTGGGAGAATTGGACAGCAACATGCAGAAGAATGAAACTAGATCATTTTCTCACACCGTGCACAAAAATCAACTCAAAATGGATAAAGGACCTGAACGTGAGACAGGAAACTATCAACACCCTAGAGGAGAAAGCAGGAAACAACCTCCTTGACCTCCACCGCAGCAACTTCTTACTTGACACATCCCCAAAAGCAAGGGAATCAAGAGCAAAAATAAACTGTTGGGACCTCATCAAGATTAAAAGCTTCTGCACAGCCAAGGAAACAACCCAGAAAATTAATAGGCAACCAACGGAATGGGAAAAGATAGTTGCAAATGACATATCAGATAAAGGGTTAATATCCAGAATCTATAAGGAATTCACCAAACTACACGCCCGAAAAACAAACAACCCAGTGAAGAAATGGGCAGAAGACATGAACAGACACTTCTCCAAAGAGGACATCCAGATGGCCAACAGACACATGAAACGATGCTCAGCATCCCTCCTCATCAGGGAAATACAAATCAAAACCACACTGAGATACCACCTCACGCCAGTCAGAGTGGCTAAAATGAGCCAATCAGAGAACTCGAGATGCTGGCGAGGATGTGGAGAAACGGGCACCCTCCTACACTGTTGGTGGGAATGTAAACTGGTACGGCCCCTCTGGAAAACAGTGTGGAGGTTCCTCAGGAAACTAACAATAGAACTCCCCTAGGACCCAGCAATAGCACTGCTAGGAATTTACCCAAGGGATACAGAAATGCTGAGGCATAGGAGCACGTGTACCCCAATGTTCATAGCAGCACTCTCCACAATAGCTAAAACATGGAAAGAGCCTAAGTGTCCATCAACAGATGAATGGATCAAGAAGATGTGGTTTATCTATACCATGGAATACTACATGGCAATGAGAAACAATGAAATCTGGCCACGTGTAGCAACATGGATGGACCTTGAGGGTGTTATGCTGAGCGAAATAAGTCAGGCAGAGAAGGACAAATACCATATGTTTGCACGTATAGGAGGATTAGGAGGAACTTGACGGAGGACCAAGGGGGAGAAGAAGGGCGGAAATGGTGGGGGAAAGGGAGAGAGGCAAACCATGAGAGACTCTTGAATGCTGACAAAAACTGAGGACTGATGGATGGGGGGGGGGGGGGGGGATGGGCATGGAGGAGGACACTTGTGGGGATGAGCACTGGGTGTTATATGGAAACTAATTTGACAATAAACTATTTGTAAAAAAAAAAAAAAAAAAAAAGAATGCAGGGGCCAGTAAAGCTAAATGTCCTGCAATGCAAGGGACAATCATACAATTATTCTATTCAAAATGGTGAGAAGAAACATACCACCGAGAAACACTACTCTACTGTCAATAACAATAATTTTTATTCTTCTTTACAGTCTCAAAGCTTAGCCCACACCTGTAATAGGAGGGCAATAAATGTTGGCCCAACGAACAAATGGAATGTAATGATTATCATTTTGAACAAACTGGATTAGGCCCTATCATCCATGACGGTTACATTTTCTTATGTTTGGTGTCCACCGTGTAGTAATTTAAGACCAACGTGAGCAGATCAAATGGCATGCTTTTAGAATTCCAGCCAAGACAATACTGACCTCTTCTGTGAAGCAACCTTTGTTCAGCCATGTGGCCACTTCCACGAGAATGTACCCTGGCTAGACCAGGAAGTAAGGCAATGCAGACAGCATGAGAAACTGAAGTTTTAGCAACCACTCTGAGACTAAAATTTCTGACAGATTCAGTTTCTACCCCATTCATGAATCCTAGCAACCTGGATCTGCTCCTAGTACTCTGCTTACCTTCTGCAAATCCATGGAAAGCTGCTGAATGGATGCTTGGAGCTCTTGTTCCTTTTGCTCCAGGGCTGCAATCTTATTTTCTGCACCTGTTTTTGATGCTGTCACATGATCTCTTCATTGAAAGAAAGCAGACAATAAACACATTTGGAAATTTCATCTAAAGGACACTCTCCTACAGGAGAAATACAGATGGCTCTTTATATGTCAGGGCTGCAAATGTTAGCCACGTGCAGATTATCAATGGAAAAGACTCCTTGGCTCTTTCTGAAGCAGAAGCCCAAAGAGAAAAATTCCACCCAGGTTTAAGCAAAAAAATCCCAATCTGCCTTTGGTTACTCGATAGCTTAGAAACAAAAACATAATAAATTGCTTCGCAGGCTTGGAAGCTGAGCTCAGGCAGGTGAAGGGGAGTAAAGGTTTGGGGGGGAAGGGTAGGGAGGCAGAGGGTCCCAAGCCCTGGGCTGGTAAGGACAATCCAGAAGCCTTTGCCAGAACTGAGATCAGAAAGTGTTGCAATGAGCAGTGGAGAAAGGCAGGCAAGCTATAGCCAGAGCTACACTAACACCGCTTCCCATGGGCCCCACAGACCAAGCAAGAACCTCTGTTCTTCCAGCGCTGAGTAGTGTCTCTGCAATTCTTCTAGCTTCTGACTTAAGTCTGATGACATCTGATTGGAGGTTATCAACTCCTCCTGGGTGTGAGTAAGTTCTCTGGTTCGTGCCTCCAACTCTTGCTCCATTTTCCCCAGACTTTCTTCTTTTTTTAAAAGCTGATACAAAGATATAAAGTTTCACTGGGCCACTACCAAGAAATACTACTAAGACATATTTTTAAAAATAGACACCAAAAACTCAAACTTTTATAAAATTTTTGTGAGCTTTAAGAGGACTTAAATGCCTAGTACTATAAAAGAAAGAAAAGGAAAAGGACACACATTTCAAACAGAACCTTCTCACTTAATAAGTTGAAAAACATACAAATATGATTAATATCAAAGACTACGAGGGTATGTTTCTCAGCCATTAGAGAGTGAGGACTAGTAAAATCAGAGTAATTAATCATCTCTTCAGTACTCAGCTATGAAAACAAAAATGCGCACCATGTGCTTTACTTTACTTAGCTCCTGCTGCTGGAAGCCCTCTAATTCATCCATTTCATCCCTCCTTTGGAAAAGATTCAAACTCTGGTTCTTCATTTCCTGTAACTGAGCAGTCAGAAATCTCTTCTCCTATTTAGAGGAAGAAGGTGATTAAGACACCAGAAGTCCATATTATAGAAGCAGAATTTTTTTTTTTTTTTTTAAAGATTTTAAATATTCCCTATACCCAATGTGGAGCTTGAACTCATGACTCCAAGATGAAGAGTCATACCCTCCACTGACTGAGCCGGCCAGGCATCCCCAGCAAAATCCTTAATAAGTGAAAATGATTTTTAAAAATCTCATCAAATATACAGTAGACAACTGTAGATAATGTAGACAATGGGAAGCTTTACAGTGATATGACCAAAATGGCCTTTTCTACAAATTTCTTTAAGTTAAAAATAAATGAGTTTTTTAAAAAAATTATTTTATTTTTTTAAGTAATCTTTATAGCCAATGGGGGGCTCAATCCCATGACCCTGAGATCAGAGTTATGTGCTCTCCTGACTCAAATAGGTGTCCCCCCAAAATAAAAAATAAATGTTTTAAATGATGGCTGTGAATAAGGGGAATAAGAGCAACTATTTCTTAACACTTTAAAGTTTTTAAGTTTGGGGGGCGCCTGGGTGGCTCAGTCGGTTGAGCGTCTGACTTTCAGTCAGGTCATGATCTCACGGTTCGTGGGTTCAAGCCCCGTGTCAGGCTCTGTGCTCACAGCTCGGAGCCTGGAGCCTGCTTGAGATTCTGTGTCTCTTCTCTCTGCCTCTCCCCTGCTCGCACTCTCTCTCTCAAAATAAATAAACATTAAAAAAAAAAAAGTTCTGAAGTTTGATCAGAAATTCCAGATATCCATGTTGCACATCTATTCTTGGTGACATACTGAACTGGTTGAATGGTATGAATAACTGGTGTGAGATTGAGTACCCTGAAAAAATGAGATGCATTTAAATAGAACTGATGTCAGCAATTTCAGTTAGGATGTCAACAAACTTTAGACATGACCGTGACTGGTGTCAGCAGGTTACAATCTACTAATGACAGCTTCCCAACCAAGATAGATTCTCTTAAGAACAAACCCTGCCTGCTGCTGCAATTTCCAATTCCTGATTGAAAAGAAATCAAAATAGTCTAAAAATAACATTTCCAAAAATTACAGGCTTCAAAGACCTACATAGATGTCTCATTGCTCTTTCTGGATCTAAAATACTTCTCAATCCCTCCTTTGGTGGAGAAGTGGGGGGGGGCTTGCCTCAGTGAGTGGAAGTAGGTTTTATTTAGTTCAGTCCTACATGTATCCCCCTGCACCATAATTTTAAAAGATATCAATGAGAATTTCAACTGCTACAATCTTCGGAGTTTAAGAAAAGTTTAATCTAACCCATACTTCCATATTTAAGAAGACTATCATTAATACCATGTTCAGACTTTTTCTTAATGTCTATTTTTGAGAGAGAGAGAGAGAGCGAGCACGTGCGCGAGCGGGGGAGGGGCAGAGAGAGACAGAGACAGAGAATCTGAAGCAGGCTCCAGGTTCTAAGCTGTCAGCACAGAGCCTGACACAGGGCTCAAACCCATGAACCGTGAGATCAGAACCTGAGCAGAAGTCAGATGCTTAACTGACTTAGCCACCCAGGCGCCCAGATTTATTTTTTAATGTTTATTTATTTATTTTGAGAAAGAGAGAGAGAGAAACAGAGAAAAAGGGAGAGACAGAGAGAATCCCAAGCAGGCTCCATGCTGTCAGCTCAGAGCCCAGTGTGGGGCTTGATCCCACGAACTGTGAGATCGTGACCTGAACCAAGATCAAGAGTCAGCTGCTCAACTGAGTGAGCCAGACTCAGATTTTTTTTTCAAGTGCAAGATTCTTTAGGAAATAGCTTGACTTTTCTGTAATTCTTTCCTCGCATAAATACATCAAGCATTCTTTTTTTAAAAATTAATTTATTTTTTAGTGTTTATTTTTGAGACAGAGAAAGACAGTGCAAGTGCGGGAGGGGCAGAGAGAGAGAGACAGACACAGAATCTGAAGCAGGCTCCAGGCTCTAAGCTGTCAGCACAGAGCCCGATGTGGGGCTCGAACCCATGAACTGTGAGATCATGACCTAAGCCGAAGTTGGATGCTTAACTGATCTACCCAGGCTCCCCAGTCAAGCACTGTTTAACTGATAGCTTGATAATCAGATTTCTACAGAACAGACACAGAGAATTGCTGGTTTAACTTGACATTTTATCCCAAGAATGCAGCAATAAAACTCACCTGTTAATAAAATAAATAGTAAATCTATTGTGCAACTAAATAAATCAATCCAAGAAATAATTTTTCTACCATGAAGAGTAACATAGAAGTATTCAATGAAAACAAAAAAATGAAGTAGGTAGCAGCATATAATTTGGGCTGAGGGGGCTGACTTTGAAATTAAAATGTTTTTCTAACTGTAAGCTTGAAATTTCATCTTCCTGTTCATGTCTGGGAGCCAGGAATACATTACATTAAGCACCTACATGGTGTTACACAAGCTATGATGCTAGAGTAATCAATTTTTCTTATCTGTGTTTAGTCAAGATGTACTCTTATCTGCTTAATGCTGAGCCTTGAAAAATGCCCTCCTTCTCACCGCCTCCTCAAAAATTATTCCTAACGTTACCACAGTGCCAAGTAGGGCCCCAGTCGGAAACAGATGGCAGTCTCAGATGGAGTATTTTGAAAATAGTTTAATAAAGGGACTTTTGAAAGCTGTGGGTGGAATTAGAAAACCCAAAGAGATGATGTGTTAGTAGCAGTTGGGCACGAAGGGGCAAGGGATTAGGAGGTCCCAAGAACCCCAGGGATATTCCACTGAAGCTGTGACCTTTGGCCATGGGATACAACCAACCTGAAGGGATCCCACAGGGAGAAGGCGGGGGAAATAAACATTCTGACCACATTCTTCTTCTGCCCATCGTTCTTTTGGAGTTCGCCACTGGCAGAAACAATGGGAAGCCAGAGGGCTATGGAGCCCTGCTGATGCAGTTTCTAAGAGCCTTCAGGTACAGAGAGAAAGGTACGAGAGGAGTAGAGAGGATATTGGGAGGGGAAAACAAAAGATATCCCGCATGCCCATCCGGGAAAGGAGAACACATGAGCTTTTCAAGTCAGTGTCTAATTATCCAGGACCTTGAGGCCAAGAGGTGATAGAGCCATCCATACACTGGGTACTGGAGCAACCGTTTTCTCAGCCCCAAGAACAGGCCAACATTCATAGTGAGACAAAAATAAAAGATGAACTAACCTTTTCAAGCTGATCCATTTTTTCTGACCATTCCTAAAACAAAACAACAAAAAAAGTACAGTTTCCAGGGAAGAGTATCAGTAACATAAAGATTTTCAGAAAACAAAACCACCTAACTCCCCCTGAAAAACAAGCAAGCAAGCAACCAGAACAGCAAATGTAAGAAATCCCATAAAGTTGGCTTAGTATTAAGAAAGCCAAGAGTCCTAAAAGGAGGAGAAAATGAATTTTACAAAAAATTCTAGAACACAAATAAAAGCCTGCAGATTTTTCTAAGGAGAGCACGCAACAAAGCTGTCATGTGGTGTTCTGAAGCAGCTTTTCAGTTGATCCCTAAGTGTTTTTCCATGAGTGTTGTTATTATTTCTTGGGAGTGGGTAGCTGGGACCTGCTGGGTTGGTAACTCTATGACTGATGTTTAGAAATTAATTTACTGAAGTTGAGGGGGACAGTCTTCACCGGCCCCTGATCATTTTTTCCTTCTTATCTTGATTTTCCCAGTATGTTTTGTGCTCTCTGGGATAAGGCATAAGTTAAAGGAAAAAGAATTATGCCCCTTGTTCACAAATCCTAGAACAGGAGGAAAAAATAACCACTGGTACAAAAAAACCATATTGTAACTGTCTGCAATCAGAATCCACCAATTTTAGATGATTTCTTCATTTATATACATTCATACCATATTTATCCACTAAGTATTGGGAGTGAGGTCTTTCTCTGGCTAGCAAATGTCCCAGACGACTGATATTCACTTTAAAACCAACCAACAAGCCAACCACCCACCAACTGTAGATGAAATATATATTTTCTTAAGTGAAGCATAATATATTGACCCTGTCTTGATAAATCAAGATGATCACAGTATCTTGATGTTTATCTTAAACTTAAAATGTCACTGAAATATACTTCGTAATTATTGCAATAGCTAGTAATAGTACTATTTTCCTTTCTTATTCCAGCATCTGTCAATGAATGGTTCTAGTGAGATTCCAGGAGTCCTTTTCTGTTAAGCTCACTGGGGTTTAAGAAACTAAGGTTGAAGGAACTGGGGAAGAGAGGTTAAGAACTATATACATCATAGAAGCTGGTTAGCTTGGAAGCATTTTCCATGATGTATCATGTTTGGGGTCTAGGCTTCAAAACAGGCATTTAGAGGACAGAGGCCGTTTTCCTTCTCTTGGGATATGTGGCCAAATTAGGACACACGATTTCCCTCTCCCTTATACAAAGCTACAGAGAATGATAGAATGATACTGTCACATTCTAAACACATTTCATGATTACAACTCTAAATTATATAGCATTCCTTCTCTCCTAGACTGTAAATATTTTCTACCAGGTTTATGTCATGATTTTTGAAATCATGTCACGAAGTGAAATCTTTCCACCAGTCTGGGGCGTCACATATAAAATACCTGGTCCTTTCTGGCTAATGCCAAAGCCAGTCCTTCTGCCATTTTGGCTCTGTTGGCTTGGAATGTCTCATTCTGCTCTTGAAATTTCCGCATGGAAGCTGTTAACAAAGAGGCTCTATTTGAGATACGGAAATATTGCAGAAACGGCATGACAAACAGCCCAGTGATTACTTTACAACTGTCACCTAACAAAAGAGATCTAGGTCACATAAGTGAATAATGAGACTGGGAAAAACCTGATCCATCTCAAATTTCCCAGAATCTCTGGACCACAGCTGGTTTTTCTGGTGCTGGGTTTTTTGTTTTTTGTTTTGTTTTGTTGGGGTTTTTTTGCTTTCTGTTGTTTTGTTTTTGTAATAAGCACATATATACATTTAGGTAGATGCCAAGAGGTAACATTTTCAATGGCACAATGACAGAACATGAGTTGAGCAGGTTGCCAGAAAACGCTCATGCCTTTGCTAAGTGAAGATTACTGCCGCTCTCAGAATTAAAAATAAAAATCAAAACTTGGCAAAACCAAAAAAAAAACCTTTCTTTTACTTTGTTTACTTAAAAAAATTTTTTTAATATACGTTATATTAACAGAAAATAACTTTCTACTTGTTAGCATCTTTCTTGGCTTGAATCCCAAGGAGAATATACGAGTTAGGATAGACTAAAAACTGCTCCACTGTTGGAGGAGTGAAGACAGCTGAAGAGTTTTCCCATTACTGACTCCAGCAGCATGAAGCTACAGCTCAAACCAGTCTCCTAATCAAGGTGTGAGGGCCAGGCACACAATTTTACTAAAATCTAAGGGCAGCCAATAAACTGGATGAAGACAAGCTGATACACATGATGACCTCCTAAGAAGCATGCCCATAATGCAACATAAATAGCAACTGTATGCTTATAAATATCAGACAAATGTTATAGCAACCTGATTAAGAAGTACACTTACAAAGACTGGAGTTACGATGAAGGACAAAGTTATCCATACACTATTGTTTCATTTAAAAAAATATAAACCCTAAGAAGATTGAAAAAAAGCAGGAAAAAAATACGTACAATCCTGGTGTTTTTCTAACGCAATTTCAAGCTTCTCTTTTATCTTCTGCAAGTTTCGGACCTGTTCAGCATAGTCTTGGGTGAGGAGGGTGACGCACATACCAGGAATGGACAAACATCAGGAAAGGAAGTTAATTAAACAAAAAAATGAGTGAAAATGATGATGATTTTCTCAACCTGAAAACCATTGCTGTTAAGGAAAGCTAGGCAGACAGCCTCCCGTTAACAATGAACAACACAGGCAAACAGGTATAGTACAAACTATCCACGGTGTAAATGGTGCATACAAACAGGCAGATTTGTTCAGCCTGGATAGGGAACAAGAACTGGGCCTGATCTGGTCATCAGAAATGGCCTGCTCATTACTTAATTTCGAATCTCAGTTTTCACTTCCCCTTCCAGTATTAGCAATAGGATAGGTCAAAGGAACTCACTAAGTAGCTCAGTCCATACAACTGAGGAACAATGGTTAGGGCAATAGCAAACACCTTACCACAGTATGGTCTTTACCATGAAAGTACTTAATTCTCTAGAAAAGTCAGCTTCTTTTCTACACAGGAAATGAGCTTCCTATGCCATATGAGGGGTGAAAGTCAGAATTAATTACCTGGGTGGCCAAAGAAGATAGTATGGAATAGTGGAAAAGTAGGCAGCCTTTAGTTCATTTCCCAACTGTCAGTCCTTAGCTGAGAGACCTTAAGCAAATTATTGATCCTAAGTATTAGTTTCTTTACTTATCAAAAATGATGTTAATTGTACCTGCTTCAAATGTACTTTAATAAACAAAGTGTTTTAGATGTCTTAATTAGATGGTGCCAGAAGCATTCGACACAGTGTTCAATAAAAGGGAGCTGCTATTATTGTTGTTGTTATTCATACTGAACCCGGAGGAAAATACCCGGGACATCACTGGGCTCAGTAGGTGTCTGTTCTCTTCCCTGTCTCTCCTCTAACTTAAGTCTAAACTACTCTTCCTTCATATAGTAGTGAAGGCACATGGTATTTTACAGCTTTCTCCCCAACATTAAACAAATGTAAAGTTATTTCACCTGTTACTGATATTACTTACAGGTAGGCCTAACAAGACAGTCACAACTGAATTTAAAGAAGACTGTAGTTAAGAGTACGGACTTTAGCAAGCAAATCTGGGTTTGGATCCCAGCTCTACAACCTACTTGTGTGACCTTAACTTCGTTCAGCCTAATAAGGCTGTAGTGAGGATAAAATGAGATCATGGGTCAGCTGGGAGCTGGGAGCTGTGCTATGGACCTGTGGTAACCTCACAGACACAAATATTTCACATACAATTTGGTGAATTCTGTAGTCTACTGCTTTCACTCCAATAAAATGTGTATAAGGCCAAGGGACAAAAAGAAACACAGAAGCCATTGACCACTTCACAGGACGAAACTTTCAAAATGTATCCACTGGCAGAAACCAAAATAAAAACTCACAACTCTATCACAAACATGCCCTGCCAGGCAAGGATATGATGGAAGTTGTGTTAACTGTAAACTGCACACAAAAGACATAATGAGAGTTACAGCTTCTATACGGGTGTTGAATATCATTGAAAAGTGGCCTGAAGACCCAGAATGACATTTACACAGGTGATACGTAGCTGCAGCAGGTGGCCATGTAGCACCAAACCTCTGGTGCTGAAGAATCCATCTATTGGCCATTCCTGTAAATACTATTCCCTACCCCTCTCCACTTGAAAGTAAGCTACGCTAACAGGTAAAAGATGGTCATAGATAGTCTATATATACCTTTAATACCTTTTATATCCATGGCTAGAAACGTCAGGAGCAGAAAAATGTAGGTTGTTGGGTTTTGTTTTTTTTTTTAACTTTAAAACTTAGTTTTGAATTTACACTATTTGGTACACTAATAAAAGGACGGAACGAAAAGGGTACAAATTGCTCCATTTTGACTAAGAAACATGTCAAAATATGTCAACATGACTATAAGGTTATACTACATGGCTATTTTATATACAGAGAAGGTCACCCAAGGCAAGTTTTCTTTGCTTGCTTTTTATGAATTCTTTGACATACCAGAGAGTCTGGCTTCTAATTTCCGTATCTGTTCATTCCTTCTCAAAAGCTGGGATGAAAGATCTTCTCTGGAGCTGCTTCCATCGGAAGCCTGTTGAAATTGACACAAGAAGAGGTCATATTCATACTTGGGTTTTCAGCAGTGTGAGACCCCAGTACTCAACCAGAAAGCACTAAGTCTTATGTTAGGTTTGGTTACAGTTTTTTTTTTTTTTTTAATGTTTTTTAATGTTTTTTATTTATTTCTAGGAGAGAGAGAGAGAGAGAGAGAGACAGCGTGAGCAGGGGAGGGTCAGAGAGAGAGAGAGTCACAGACTCTGAAACAGGCTCCAGGCTCTGAGCTGGCAGTCAGCACAGAGCCCGACGCGGGGCTCGAACCCACGAACTGCGAGATCATGACCTGAGCGAAAGTCGGACGCTTAACCGACTAAGCCACCCGGACGCCCCAGGTTTGGTTATAGTTTAATCGTGATCATTGAAGAGCTTCTTAGAGTACCTGGGTCCTAGCTTCTCCACCTGTAAAGTAGAAGCAACACTATCTCCTATAACGTGAAGGAGACAGAAGATGCTAAACTGATAAATTATGTTTGTGTGTATGCATTGTATTGCGATAAGTGGTGGTAAACAAATCCATTGTGATCATATCACACCAAGTACATAAAATACAAAGAATATATTTTCAGTGATAAAAAAGAAAATCACTTTATTTTTTCCAAGGTAAAGTCCTGGGATAAAGTGGAGAAGGTTCTTTAGCAAGGGATCAAAGGCTGGTGAAGAACTTATCACAGATGTTGAAAAAATTTCAGTATCTTCACCTAAAATGCATCAAGGACTTTAGTTAATAATATGGATTTAATAATCAATATATTAATGAGACATCAGTTTTCCCCAATCTATTTTAAAATGTATGAATACTCCTATTACTTTGAGAACTGCTTACTATTGCTAATAAGTAACTCTATTTTCTTTCGATTTTAAAATTTTTAAAAATACAGAAGAGTAGAGAAGACGTTTTAATGAATGTTCTCCACCTACTTTAATAATTGATAACATTTCCCCATATTTGCTTCATTAATTTTTATTTTACTGAGGTACTATACGTAACAGACATTTCATCCTAAATACTTTGATAAACATTTCTACAATTTAAGGTCATTTTCCTCTATAACCACAGTACCATTATCACACCTAACAAAATTTAAAATATTACCTAATACTAGTCTTTATTTATGTTTCCCCATCTTATACCCAAAATTATTTAAAAAAAATTTTTTATTTAATGTTTTTATTTTTGAGAGAGAGACAGAGAGACAGAGTATGAGCTGGGGAGGGGCAGAGAGAGAGGGAGACACAGAATTGGAAGCAGGCTCCAGGCTCTGAGCTGTCAGCACAGAGCCCGACATGGGGCTCGAACTCACAGAATGAGAGATCATGACCTGAGCTGAAATCAGATGATCAACCAACTGAGCTACCCAGGTGCCCCCAAAATATCTTTAAAGGTGGTTGAAAATTTCACTTTAAATATCCATTTATTTAGAATATTTAGACACTTGCCCAATCCAACATTGATCGAGATGTGGTAAAGTTTATAGTTAAGAGGCAGTCTCTGGAGGCGGAAGGCCTGGGTTAAAGTCCATCTTCACCACTTATAAAACAAGAACCTGGTCCAATTAGTCACCTTCTCTGTGCAGTGATTTCCTCATATGTAAACTATGACAACAAACAGGATCAATCTCACTGAGTTTCTATGAGAATTAAATAAATCAATATTTATCAAGTCCCTAAAACAGAGACTGGCATATAATTAGTTTTAAGACATATCACCTATCATTAGTAGCAGAAATGATGATTATCACTGTTTAGTGAGACACTGTGCTATGCATTGGGAACAGAGATGAGAGAGTCCCCACCCAAAATAGCAGCAGCTGAAGCAGCTACTATTATGAAATGGCTGTTAAGAGCCAGGCACTCTGCTAAGTGTTCTATTCACTGGGCAGAAAAGAGCTAACATCACAGGTCTGCGATCACAATCCTCAGCAAGGTCTGCTTGTAATGCTGGCCCTGGACTGGCTTTGGGAACTTAAGACTTTAAAAGGGTTTCCACCATTCCTGATAAGAATGGTTCACTGTACCTAATCTTGTTTGTGTAAAAAACGTGGTTGATGCAGAACACTCATTTTCCTTTTGGGAGTCTGGAATTGTGGTTAATTGCCATGGCTTGGCAGAGGGTGCCTATGTGAAGAGCCTCCAATAAAGTCCCTGGGCACGGAGTCTCTAATGAGCTTCCCTGGAAGTCAATATTTTACATGTCCTGCTACAACTCATTGCTGGGGGAATTAAGTGTGCCCTATGTAACTCTAGGAGGAGAGGACGCTTAGAAGTTTGCACATGGTTTTCTCCAGGCTTTGCCTCAGGAACCTTTTTCTTTTGCTGATTATGCTTTGTACCCTTTGACTGTAATAAATGACAGCAATGAGTAAAACCATGCAGCGTCCTATGAGCCCTCCTAGTAAATAAATGAACCTAGGGATGAACTTTGGGGGCCCTGACACATATATTTTAATAAAGACAGGTACAGTTCTAACCCCATTTTACAGATGTGGAAACTAAGGCACTAAAAAGTAAAGGTTCTTGCCACAAGTCACATAATAACGATGCAGCTGGGAAACAAATCCAGGTCTAACTCCTTAAGCTGACTTTTTTTTTTTTAAAGTAGGCTTTGTGTCCAGTGCAAAGCGCAATGTGGGGTTTGAACTCATGACCCTGAGATGAAGACCAGTGCTGAGATAAAGAGACAGACACTTAACTGAGTCACTCAGGCACCCCCTGACCTGAGTTTCTAACTGCTACTCTCTATTGCCTTTCATAAGGCTCCCAATTTACTGAGAAACAAGCAAATCACTACAACAATAGATGCCATTACAGAGGTTAAGTAGGAGCCAGGGGACTAAACTCAGCTCGGAGGGATAAAGGGTAGAGGGGGTGACAAGGGAAGGTTGGGCCAAGGGGGCTTCCTGGAAGTAACATGTAAGCAAATCTTTTGAAAGATGCACAAGTCTGTCAGAGGAACTCAAGAGTGAAAGGAAGAGACAAGGGACATTCCAGAGAGAGGAAAACAGCAAGTGCAAAAATTTGTAGGCATGAAGGAATGTTGTCCATTCCAGAAATGCAGTAAGTTCAACATGGATGGTGGACAGGTAAGCTGTGCCAAGGCCATGACAGTTTACCACTACACTGAGTCTGCACTTCATCATGAAGGTGAGGGGGAAACCACTGAGGAGTCTGGAGAGCCATGAGCACATCTGCACTGGGGGATTATTGGAGGCAAAGAACCCAGATAAGCCACCACATTTGTCCAAGAAAGAAAGACAGCTTGAAATAAAATGGACGTAAATGTACTACTAGTAATGGAGTAAAGAGAGCAAGTTTGAGACATTTAGAAAACAGAAACGACAATACTTGTTTACTGGACACCAAGAAATGGAGGGAAGAGTCTAGAATGCTTCCAAAATTTCATGCTGGTGGCTTGGGGGACGGAAGTTGCACATCTGGAGATGGAATTAATGAATTCGGTTTTGTTCGTTTTAGAATTTGAGACACTAGGGGACGCCTGGGTGACTCAATCAGTGAAGCCACCAACTTTGGCTCAGGTCATGATCTCCTGGTTCAAGAGTTCGAATCTCATGTTGGGCTCTGTGCTGACAGCTCAGAGCCTGGAGTCTGCTTCAGATTGTGTGTGTGTGTCTCTCTCTCTGCCCCTCCCCTGCTCACACTGTGTCTAGCTCTCTAAAAAAAAGAAATAAACATTAAAAAAATATTTTTTAGAGTTTGAGACACTAGGGACATCTGGATGGCTCAGTCAGTTCAGTGTCTGATTCCTGATTTCAACCTAGGGTTGTGGGATCAAGTACAGCATCAAGCTCCTCACTGACTGTGGAGCTTGCTTGAGATTCTCTCTTTCTCCTTCTGCCCCTTCCCCACTTGCATGTACACTATCTCTCTTAAAAAAAAAAAAAAAAAAAAAAGAATTTGAGACACTAGAGGGAAAGCATCCAGTTGGAGAAATATTTGCAGTGGGACATCCAGGTCTGGAGATCAAAATGTGTACATAGTCGGGACGTCTAGGTGGTTCAGCTGGTTAAGCATCTGACTCCAGCACAGGTCATGGTCTGACTTCATCTCAACTCATGGTTCATGAGTTCAAGCCCTGCATCAGGCTCTCTGCTATCAGTGCAGAGCCCACTTTGGATCCTCTGTCCCACTCTTTCTGCCCCTCCCCCTCTTGCAAGCTCTCTTTCAAAAAAAAAAAAAAACAATTAAAAAATGTATACACAGTAAGTTCAAATAGATTTAGAAGTCTCAAAGGAAAGTATTTCCTGAATTCAGACCAACGTCTATAACTGGAATACCTTCAAGATGGGAGCCTTCATTTAGCATGTCACCATGAAGGGAAAGCAGGTACTGCTACCACAGAACTCAGCAATGAAACTATATCCTTCAGCCTAGGGATCAGATGTGCATTATATTTCCTGGTAAATATAGCAGCCAACAATTTAGATATGGTAATCTTATTGTTCCATCCCAATAACCTAATAGCTTCTGCAATGTAATCTGACCCAGGACAGGTAGTATAAGAAAAGAGGAAGACGACTCATGTGACCATGGAAACAACTCAAGCGTCTATCATCAGGAAAAGTCAGAGATAAATTGTGGCCTTGTTAAGTGCTGAATCTCAAACAAATGAATCACAGCTTCATGGACACAGCTTCAATGGAAAGAAGGTGAATTCAAAAAAAAAGTAAGTTCAAGAAGACTAAGGCATACCATTTTTATAAATTTCACAAATAATGCAACATTAAACTGATATAAATATGTACATATCAAAAAATGTATAAATATATACATATCTGGGAGGACATTTTAAAAATCAAGAGAATGATATATACAAAATTTGGGATGGGGTTATCTGGAGGGCAGGAAGGAAGAAAGGGAACTGGGAAGGAGCATACAAGTGGCTTCAACAGGGGGCCTCTGGGTGGCTCAGTTGGTTAAGTGTCCAACTTCAGCTCAGGTCATGATCTCACGGTTCGGGAGTTTGAGCCCCGCATCGGGCTCTGTGCTGACAGCTCAGAGCCTGGAGCCTGCTTCCAATTCTGTGTCTCCCTCTCTCTCTGCCCCTCCCCAATTCGTGCTCTGTCTCTCTCAAAAATGAATAAACATTAAAAATATATATATTTTTAAAACAAACAAACAAACAAACAAAAAAACAAGTGGCTTCAACAGTATCCATAATGTTCTACTTCTCTGGATAGGTGACAGATTAACAAGCATTCATTTTATTTTTATGCTTTATACTTTACATTTGTATTACATACATTCTTTTACATATGTATCAAGCATCATAAATCATTTTTTAAAGAAGTTATCTGACTTAAAGAAGATTCTATCATATGCCAAAAACGCACTTTTAATCCTGAGACTTGACATCCATCTAACACAAGAGCATCTTCACTTTTTGAAATCTTTCCAAAAACAAAAGTACTTTACAAATAAGGGACATACTGCAGTCATTGGTGTCATCTTTTCATCATCTTTCCCCATAAAATAGTGCCCTCTGGCTAACTCCACACCGTAACTCACAAACCTTGTCAAGCAACAGAGACTTAAAGAATATCTGTCTGCAGAGACAATAAGCCAAGCCTTTTTGAGAAATAAAATATAAAAGAAGATGCACACGGTATAAAAAGAGTAAAAGAGAACAATGCAGAGAATATGAAAAGGACTTGGGAAAAGTAGGAAAAAAAGAAATAGAAAAGTACCTTAGGGTAAGAAGAATCAAATATAGACTCTACATAATCTTGCAACTGTAAAAGAAAATATTTAAAAGAAAATCCAGGCACCCCCTAGGATTCTCTGAAATATTATTTAAAAACATATCAAGACTCTGCCAAATATTAAAAACTAGAGAAGATACTCACAAAGTCATCTCCTGAGTCAGCTCCCATAGAGGCAACCGATTCCTTGCTCACCGACCGTGGGATCCGAGTGGCACCTCCTGGCCTCTGGGCCACAGCAGTCTCTTCTGCTATTTTCTTCTTTAGTTTTGCAAACATTTTCGTTGTGTGGCTACCCTGCACTGATGACCAGCTTTTCAAACCACCACAGTAGTCTAGGGCTTAGGCCAGCAACCAGGACTTCAGAGATTGGTGCCTAAAAAGTTCCAGACATCCAAGAGCGTTGCATTCCCACTTAAATTATGGAACACAGTATCTATAAATCAGACGAAACAGAGATCTAAGTGAAACACAGGAGCAATTTCACAACTGAGTTGCTATGGCAAACTTCAGGTTTCAAAACGAAGTTTCCTAATTTTACATGTACATTTAACAGAACACAATTGCTAAACATTGAAAAAGCACCCAGGTGCTTCACATTCATAAACAGGTAAGGAAATCCAGTCTTGAGGTGGTGAGGTAATCTGCCAAAGAGTATGTGGTTAAGGGGCAGGGCTAGTACTTGAACTCAGGACTCTGACTCACAAGTCCTTACTCTTTCTTTACTACACCACGTTGGCTATAGCATATAAGACATGTTAGTAAAATTTTCCAGGGTACACATTAACATCACATCATGGCTTGGAATCCTTCCCCCGATATTAAGTTTAACTACAGTTTCCTTTTTTTTTTTTAGGATGAAGACAAAAATATGTAACTCAGTATGGGGATAAAGGTATAACATTCTAATGTTCTAGGATGGTTTGCAATCAGCTGTTGACTAGAAAAAGCTGACAACCTGGGGAAAGAAAACAACCCACAAGCCAGACACTTTAGCATATAGGCACCAGATACCCTTACACATTTCCTGGAAAAGCTGCATGGTTCTCTTTAAGGGTGATTAAAATGACCTGAAATCAGTTTTGTCTTCAGAATGTTTTACATGACATTCAACATGAGACTCAAATGTCGTTTCCTCCCAGTACTGTATGAAACTAATATTCTGGTTCCAACCTTGATTTCTATCCATATTTTGCAGAGGATACCTAAGCTCTGCCCTGAGATCTACAAATGACTTCTTACCACTTCAGATTATCCATTTAAGTCTGGACAGTTCTTCAGTGTCTGTAAACCACCTACTCACCTGGCTTATGTGCCAGATTTAAAACAGCTTGGAGGTCAAAGCATTCTGTCCTGCATGAAAACAAAGATAAAATGCATTGGGTATTTCAAGTGTAAGGCCAAAATGTTGAGGGGAAATGGAAGAGGAGGGAGTGAGGATTAACTAGGGGACAGAGGGGAGAATCTGTCACTGCCACAATCCTCAGTGGGCAACCTTCCTTCATCCTGGTCTCCTTTGCATCTGTGATCTTTCCAAGAGCTGCACTAACAGGCACAAAGAATAGACTCTCATTGGTGCCTAAACTCACTTCACCTTGGGAGCCCTGGGCAAAGCCAACTTGAAAGATATTAAGGTTTCCCAGGGCCAGTATTTATTTCTCAGTTGATTCCGACAGTCACACATTGTTTGTTTACCTGGCCAGACACGAGGCTGTCTAGTCACAGAGACTTGACTCACACTAAGAACGTCGCTGAGAAGAAGAATGGCTAAATTGGGTAAAAGCTGCCTAACGCCCAGGGAGGCAGGCAGGTACCTGCTAAGGCAGTCTGGATCCCACTCACTCAGGCTCCTTCGAGAACCGCCCGCATTTGGACTGTCAGAGAAGGTAGGGACACAATGTATCTCCCATTTGACAGCAAGGAAACTGAGACCCGGAGAGGAGTGACTTGTCCAGGGTCGCTCGGCGGGGGGAATCCTGAAACTATAGGCTCCAGACTCCCAGGCCCGGCAGCCCCTCTGCCCCCACCCCCGCCCTCTCAGAACCCTGGTACCGCCCCCCCGCCTTGGGTCTTGGTCAACCCCGTCCGGGCCGCTCTGGGGGCCGACCGGAGCCACCGGGAGAATGAGGGGTCTGCCGGCATCTCCAGCCCCCGCCCGCGCACCTGCCGCTCTCTGGGCAGCCGGCAGAGCCCCGCCTCCGGGACCTCCCGTGAACGCCGGCCCGCGTCACCAGCCCCCACGGCCGGCCGGCAAGCAGAGCAGCGACCCGGAACCGCACCTCCACCAGCGCGCCGGAAGTGGCTGCGTGCGGGGCGGGCCTGCCGTGCGCATGCGCCCGCGCGCGGTCTCCGTGGACGACTTCGAGATCTTTGGGGCGGCGGTTGGGTCGGAGCCGCTGGAGGGCGCGGGCGCGAGGTCGGGCGCTCCTTAAGGCCAGCCCGCCACGTCAGCCAGCGGACCGACCTGTGGACGATGGATGGGTGGCCAAAGCCTTTCTTGTTTTTGTTTTTTTTCTTAAAGGGGGCGGTGGGGGGGAAATGGTGGAGGAAGTGGGAGGAGCCTGCTGGCCGAAGCGAAATCACCCAATTGGTGCCGTGGGGACAGCGTGTGCAGTGAGGTTTAGAAACCCCAAAGCAGTAAGTGCGCCCGGCAGATCCGGAGTTTCCGTTCCGCTCCCCGCATCCCAGTCCCACTGCACCGTACACGACCGTCTGGTCACTGTGTAATAGATGATCCCTGCAAGCCTGTGTTCCTCCTCACTGTGGCTCCAGAAGCTGGAACTCGGTCTTCGGGTCTCGTGACTAGTGTTTTGTGCTTGTGACCTACTGCAGGTTACACGTTTTATATCGCAACCCAGGATACACATAGTGTACCATTGAAAGAAACGTTTCCAGAATCGTGCCCTTCCTTATATAATGCACTTCGATATATTGCATTTCATTAATAATCAAGATGGGGGCGGTCCAGTACGTTCGTTTCAGATCTATTTTTATTTTTTTTAATGAGAGAGAGAGAGACAGCGTGAGCAGGGGAGAGTCAGAGAGAGGGAGATACAGAATCTGGAGCAGGCTCCAGGCTCTGAGCTAGCAGTCAGCACAGAGCCCGACGCCGGGCTCGAACCCACGAATCGTGAGATCATGACCTGAGCCAGAGTCGGACGCTTAACCGACTGAGCCATCCAGGGACCCTCGGTTCAGATCTAATAATGGGCTTCCAACTTTTGACAGTTGAAGTCGAGAGAGGCAAAACTGCCTCGTTCAAAGTTACCCTGCAAATTAGTAGCTTACGTCGGGTCTCTGGACTCTTCAAGGCCAACCAAGACAGACATTCCACACATTAATTCGCTCTTGTTCTTGCCCAGGACCCCAGAGCAGCCAGAAAATCAGCAGCTTCCACACCCCCCCCCCCCAAAAAACAATCCTCCCTCCGCGTCTCGGTTTTTACCACCTCAAGCAGGGCGGTGGAAAAAACCAAGACTAGGCCTCAGAAGAAAAACTCCCCAACTAGAAGAATAAACGTTACCTACGACCTCAAGAGAGTCTTAAGTGTCTTAGGTGTTAGCTGAAAGAAGCAAACCCTACAAGTTTAGCACGTATGTCGTTAACAATCCTGAAGAAGTGCCCAAAATTTTAATCAAATAATGTTTATTTTTATATTGATGATACACTTAATATACACGTGGATTCAAGATACAAAATTCATTTACAAGAGTTCACACCTGATGAATGTAGTCACATTCCTAAAGAACATTTATCAATGCAAAAATGTTTTCAATACACTGACAACAAAAATCAAATATTCTGTAATCTTATTTTTCAATAAACATCAAAACGTTTAACTTTCCATCCTCTAGCATTTATGTGCCCTTAAGGTGGTAGGCACTGTAACAGAAGAAAACATTGGAAAGACAAGGGCCTACTGAATCCACTCTGCAGAATCACAGTGTTTACTCTGAAATTCATTTAGTGAAGTAGTTAAAGGCTTTGCTATCCTTTATGACAAATCACATATCATACAAGAGTCAAAAGGGATGAACTCAAGGAAATAACATGTTTCAGTAACTTCTCAGTTTCTAAAATCTATGAAGTACTAACCATAAGAGACAAAGCAGTAAAAGGCTGCTGAAAAGGAACACAAGAAGAAAAACATCCTTAGGAGTATGTATGTATGGCTTAAGCAATTCAGAAACACAACAAAGTCTTTCACAATACCACAAATGTTCAAGTCAAATGATAATTGACAATATAATTTTCCCCCTTAATCATTGGTAGTAAATAGCCCCTTCAAAATTTATTCTACTGGTAACACATATAAAACTAATGAATCCAAATGGTTTGCTGTCTCACAGAGCTGAGTTGACAAATTTTGATCTAAAATATTAACCCACAATACTAAAAATTTAATACAAATGAGCAACAAGACTATGTCTCAAGGATTACAGTGATTTGTGAATAGCTAGATAGGCAACCAAATAGCTTCATTATTTGCACACAGATTAGCAGCACTTGGATAAGAACGGTTACATGAAAATTATTGTGCTTCAATCTCTTGAGGAGAGCTAATAAATATAACTCTATAATCCCTATAGTGTTACAATTCTATAACATTTCAGTTACAGACAAGCACAATTTTTAAAAAGTATTTCACACTACCACAAAATCAAGTAATTGTATTCTCCAAATGTAACTTCCGTTATGATTGAAACAAGTGCATTTATGTCTAATATCCATAATCTAGACAGTAGGTTCACTGTTATTTTTAGGGAAAAAGATCAAACATAACTTATTTTAACTGATTAGCTTAATCTTTAGTGATGATTTGAATAAAGAATAAGGGTATATTCAACTTGACAGTGGAAACTGCTCAGAGAAAATGTGTTTTTGAAATGACGGTAACTCTAGAGTAAAGTAAGAAATGATTTATAACTGCTTCATCTGATTCAATGATTAATAAAACCACTATTTGTACTGGTGTTACACATGAAGATAACCTATTTGGATAATTTCCTTTACTTGTAAGCTCTACTGTGAAAATGTTTGGGCGTTGTATCTGCCTTCCTTATTATCTAAGTCTTGTCTACCTCAACTGGAAGAAGTCTCCAAAATATAAGACTCTGATTATTGAACAGCAAGGTTTACTAAAAACAAACAAATGAATCATGAGAGAACTAGCCATCTGGTCTATGTGGCAAAAGGAATGTATCCAGAGAACTATAAAAAGCTAGAGTCCTAAAATATTTTACTGAACCACTAAAAGTTATTTTTAATAAAATAACCAAGAGCTAGGAAAAAAAAAAAAACCCTTCTCATTCTTCAGGAAATAATAAAAATTCTTATTGCCCTAAAATATTCTAAGTAACTTTTTTTCCTGCAGATCTTCAATGCATCACAACACATAAGTTAGGAAAGTCATGACATGCAAAGGAGGGCAGGAATAAAATGCAGTGGTTATTTTTCTATAGTTTGGAAGTATTTACTTTGGGATTATCATACATGATGATTTCACATTTTATAGTGGTTGATCATACTGATTTGATGTTTGAGAAAACTTATGGGTCAAATTTTAATGTTCACAAATCTTAATTTTCATCACAGACAAGTGGACATTCACAACAGCATCAGAAAAGAATGCTAGTGATATAAAAATTTAAATAGTGTTTACTGCAGACCTGTAGGAAGGCTAGGTATAATTCCTGATCTCATTCTGAAAGTGACAGAATCACTCCACTCTTAACTTTCATTCCATAAGCCTATCAGAAAAGTAAAAGTCTGAACCGTGAAATTACCAGTATCTCAATAAACAATATTACACCTAAAAAGATGATTGTCTTAGGATACAGACTGGAATTGTCCACCCAAATAGGAAAATATTCCTAATATGTAGTATGTTTTATGATCGAATTCAGGCTTAAGTGAATCTGGAGTGCAGAATTAATAAAATATACTTCACACTATTAAGTCCTCTGAATCTACTGTTTGAATAATGTTTTTAAAAAAATCACACCGTTTATTTTGAGAATGACTTTTAAAGAAAACACAAAAGTTAACAAAAGTATTTTAAAATTAAGAAATGGGGTTTCAGTAATTAATCGCAATGTTCTACAGAAATGGAATTTTTAAGAGCTACACCAACCTAGTAAGTGAAAAATAATAATTTTAGCTTAAGAAAGCATTTCATATTTACAGACTTACATTTCTATGGCACCAACAAATTAGTTTAATTTAACGTATTTATCTTTACCCAATTTAAGGGTTATCCTACATTATCCTGACACCCTTCCCTTCAATAGGTGATTGATTCCATTCACACATCAATTATATTTCCTTAAACACAAGGCATGCTTATTTAGTCTCTGCTCAAAAACTCAGTGAGGCTGGAACACAGTGTGATATAATGTTTTGAAATTTTAGTTTGAGGAAGATGAATTGCCTTTTGTTTTTTTTTTTTTTTTTTTAAAGGCAAAGCGGTCACGGTATCCAGGAAAGACTGGGAGGTGCAGCATGAATAGGAATAAGGTATCGATGTCTAAGAGCACAGAATGGGGGGAACGGCTTGGTTTTCTAAGCATTCTTACCATATTTAACTGCAAAGTAACTGGCTTTACAACTGTTAGAGACAGAGGTCATAGTCACAATGTCAATCTCATCTACTGCACTTTTTATTGCTGCTCCTTTCTTCAAATTAATGTCCATACTGAGCCTGAGTCAGTTCTGTGAATTTTAAATAGCATAACATCTGCTCTGCTACTCCAATTACAATAAATGATTTGGTTACTAAAACAACAGAATGTCAGACACTATGGACATTTTCACTGATTTTTCAGAAATAGCACATTACCCAATTGTAAGGTTTATTCAAGAAAAAGGCTATTGTAACTTTATTTTAAATTTAATACTGTAATTGAGAGGTGTTATGAATAGTTGGATTTTTATTAAAAATACAGTGGAGAGGCAAATGTGACATTTGTCAGTGGTAAAAATACCTTCTCTAAGATAATTTAATATTGTATCAAACAGATTCAGTCTCTGAAAAATAATGGAATAAACAGTTGTTTTGCAGTTATATTATGTCATGCAAAAATAACCTCGACTTAATTTTTGCAGTGAATGTACTCGAGTGTGTATTAAACATCTCTTACACTCTCCCATGCAAATACACATGCCGGGTGAAGACGGGAGTAACTGAACATTGATGCTCTGTGATATTCCATAGGTTCACATGTTGGCACTGCACATACTTACTATCGTCTAAGAGGATATCCCTGCCCCCCCCCACCCATCATCCTTGGTAGCAGTTTGGAGGCCCAGATTTTACAGCACGCCATGCATCTAATATGAAGAATCTTATTTCATGTGTGAATATACCATCAATTTGCAGAACACAAGTGGTCTCACAGAGACAAAGAAATACGACTGGAGGCATTTTATTCACTGGAAGCATTTCCTCAGATGAGCCTACTCATCTTTGATATGCGACTCCAATAAGAAATATCTAGAGACGGAAATGCCACGATAGGACTAAATTAATCACAGCTGCTGCAGATATACAGATTAATACTCTCCTGTTCCTTATTAAATCCCACCCCACCGAGATAAAGCCTTCCCTTCGCTAATGCCCCTTTGTCTGCCTCACAGAGACAGATCTAAAATGAGACAGACTGGTGAAAAAACTGTCCCAAAATTAAAATTTGGCATCAGGTATGGACATGGCAACTATAAAACAAATTTCTCTATTTAAAGGACAGTTTCCTATCTATACTGAAATGTGATCAATGTCATTTTTCCACAGCCCCTTAATTCTCAATATAAATACTACTCAGTATTAATTAATACTCAACTATGGGTCAAGAAAATAAAGGACTAATATAGCTTAAGAACCTGCTGGTGTCTGTTTCACACACTAAGGGTTTTCAGGTTTATATCACTAATTTGTCATCAGTTTTAATGGAAATTGGCAGATGATTTTAAAGCTAAGGATATCCTGCTTCCTTTTAAGGTTTTCATATCCTAATTCCAACTCCAAATTAGCCAATTTTACCCAAACACAAGCCCCTCAAAATAGAGGCTTATGAAAGAGATACAGCCACAACCTAATTACAGCAGCATGAACAATGCCACTATGATGTCCTCACAGAACTTAAATAAAGTCAGCCCACAATGGGTATGGGTATATAATATACACATACTGTATCACTGCATAGCAATATATTTACAAATATGTACATATATACAAAAAGTATACATAGAGATTGCATTTAGCATCACAAAAATATACACATGCGATTACAAATAAAATAAGATTTTCAAATAAATAAGGTCAACAAAAGAGCCCTCAATGTAAATACCCTTTATACTCTCCAAACACACACAGCAACAGACACGCCCAAAATATCACCAGGAGATTCATACCATTCATATTCGTATCAAATCTTTTTACTCGCTTAGGGTAGGGAGGTGGTTCTGAATCACTGGCAGTAACCAAGTTTGCACACCTTGGCACCTTACTCTACTTCCAGTCTAGAATGTTCTGTATATATCAGGCTACAAGTCCCCATGGAAAACCACAAGATTTTTCAACTGAGTCCAAATCCCTTCTAAGATACAAAGTGATGAAGTCACACTGGTCAGAGATTCAACTTGGAGGAGAAAGCTAAAGAAGGCCCTGCAACTGATATACGAATCAGATTGGATGCTTTTCCCTCTTCCTCAATGAAATTCAGTACAGTGACCACCTAATCTGTTATAGGGAATTCTACTACAAGAAGAAAATAAGGGGCAATAGCCATAAGTAGGGAAAAAATAAAACCCAGATCCTGCATCAGGAAAATTTCAGTCACAACTAGATTGCACTTTGCTTCTATAATCTCAAAACATTTCAACTTGGTAAAAATATAAAGGGTACAATAAATTCTATGTGCTTTGAGAGGTTTTGAGAGCACCACTTCCTAGGAAGAAAACACACACACACATACAAAAAATATATCCTGGCTGGAATCGAGACTAAATTGTCTGGCTTGGGGATTTCTTATAATCAATAAAAATTTGCTAGGGCTGACTGGTTTCCTGGTTTCAATATTTGATATAATTTTAAAATACCATAACCTTTTGTGCCAAAATATAAATCTCTAATTATTCTTTTCTAGTTCCTTATAGAAATCAACCTGAGCTACTAGAAAGACTGGGCTGAGGTTAGGAGATTTGAGTTTTAGCTCTAGCTCTGCCACTATGCATAAACCTATAGTTTTTTTTGGGTCTCAGATCTCTCTTCTGAAAAACAGGTAAAATAGCTGCTTTACCAACTTCAGAAATACATGGTTAAAGAAAGAGAAAATAATTCTGTTGTGCTTAACGTTGTTTTGTATATAAGCGACTTGCAATCTTACACTTTCTGTTTTATTTGCAGTGATTCTTCAGGGAGGTGAGAGACTGTATCAGAATCTCCAGGGGGAGTTTGTGCAATCTGAAAACAAAGAAGTGCTTTTTCCCATGGCTTTGCTTGGTTCTTAGTTCCAATGTTTACATTGCTATGAATTCTAAAATTAACTAAAGGGCTTAATAGTTTTATATTTATAAAGGGGAGCAGTATACATTGTAAAAAGAATTCTTTGCCATTGCCTATGGGTGATTGTCCTTTTTACATTTCTTCCTTGATTAAAGTAATGTCTTAAAATGTAGAAGCTGGGTGATGGGTACAAGACAATTTATTAAATTCTATGTATGCCTAAAGTTTTCATAATAAAAAGTTTAAAAAGAAAAACCATGCAGTGTTTGCTCAAATGTAATCTCAATAAGGCCTACCCTGATTACTCAGTTAGACCCTGTTCGTTGCCCAAAAGCAACCGAATCATTTCCCTTACCACGCTCAAATTTTCCTCATACTACTTATAACTCTCTAACATAAATTTACTTGTTATGTTTATTGCCTGACTTCTCCTCCTAAAATATGAGCTTCATTAAGACAAGGAATTTTAAGACTAATTTGCTTTCTCAATGCCTACACCAAAATCTGGAGTGTAGCTGTTGCTCAGTACATGTTCTTTTGAAGGCATGAATGGAACAATGGTTTACAATTTTCTAGCACAGTTTTCCTCTCTTGAAGATTCAAGATCACGCTGGCTCACTTTAGATTTTTAACTACCAATAGGAAATTACACTACTATCAGCTCAAGAAACAACGTCATCATTTAAATCCTCATTTTGATTTCTAAGACCCCTTGTTCTTGGACAAACATGTTTCTAATTGCAAAAGCTCTAATTTTTTCAAGAGATTAGTTTTTACAATAACTGAGACCCAGATACTTTCGTGAATAAAAACAAGTTAAATATGACTTAGAAGAGAAAATGTTTATGCTAAAATCAGGGAAACTAGGTTTCCAGGTGGCAGAGGTAGGGAAATGAATTATTTGGAATCCAGATTTCAATTATAGGACTAGATAACTGGGTAGGACCTTGGGTCAATGCCTTCATTTTACAGATGAGAATACTATAAAACAGAAACATGAAGACCCTTGTCAAAGGGCATACAGCTAGTTGCCAAGAAAGCCAGGATTAGAACTCAGGTCTCCTAGTTCTCAGATCAGTGTTCTTTATGTTAAACAGGTAAGAATAAAGCTCAGGAGGATAAATATTATTTTAAGCATCAGAAGACAGAAAAATGCATGTTGTTAAGTATGTTACTGGCACAGAACTTCAGGGGAATTGAAACGAGAGGTCAGGCTATTGCTGTAATCCAGGTGAACACTGTTATGGAAGGAAAGCTATTAATATTAAGGTACTGAAAAGCAGAAAAGCAGTCTTTATCTGATAAAGAAAAACAACCCAATAGGCAAAGGAAATCTCCCTCCAGGATAAGTTTTCTAAAGCTTTTTGAAATAATGTTTAAAAGAACAAAAATAATGAAAAAATTAATGAACTATCATAAAGTCCCCCAAACCCAAGAACAATGATTTCAAGATTTCAGATGAAAATAATCAGCAAATTGGAACAGCTATATGAATAACTTAGACCCAAATAATTTCCTATGCCCAAAATGAAAGCCAAGCTAAAAATATTACAGCAAAATCTCCCTCAGGACACAAGACAGAGGCACCAAAAGCAATCACCTTATTTCCCCTGGGACTGCCAGAGGTAGCATGTGAGCCTGTACAGAAAATTAGGTAGAAGGGCTTTTGATTCATAGATTTCGGAACTTGAATGCTGTCGAGTCAAAAGAAGGGGGAAATCTCCAAAACATCATAACTGATGCCTATGAAATTATGAAGAGGATAACAGAGAAGAAAAAAACACAAAAATCTTTATATTATACACTGAGTCCTGTTTAAAATAATTAAAAAAAAACCTTGTGCATGAAAATAAAATATTAAATATAGGAGGTTTAAAAAATCTTATTTTCAAATTGTCAATGCAAAAGTTACTTCCATTTTAGGTTAAACAACAATTCAGTTGTCCCCAACTAAAATTCCTACCATCTCTGACGTTTCAGAAATATGAACTAGGCAACAAAAAGATGATAAACTCTGTACTATATGCCACAGCCTTCGATCTGGACAACCTTTAAACCTGATATCGTGAATTAAGAGTTTAAATAGAATTCCTCATGGAAACATTGTATTATGAAACCAATAATCTTACTTTTTGACTTAAATACTTTTTGTCATTTCCAGTATTCAGATTACAAAGAAAACAAAATATACCAGCATAGCTCATGATAACACAGGGATCACATATTCCAAGTGATATTTATCATCTTAAGACTCCAATTAAAATTTAAACTTTAAGATGCAAATGAATCCTATATAGTTTCTGAAATTATGACAGTATTTAATGAAGTAAAAGATTTCAAATATTGTCTTGATTATGCTTCAGAGAATCACACATTTGACACCCCTACTAAGTTGGAATGAAAGGAAATATTATGGAAAGGCTCCGTTCTTGATTTTTAATAGTCCATGCTGGCTAGTTTCATCTTTGTGAACAATGAGATATTTTCTAAATCCACACATTTAAGGTCCAAGTATAAGAGCTAGATTTTCCTCATTATATAAAAATAAATGATTTACTTTTCTGAGGGTGAGAACAGTGACTATCTGCGTGTAGGGTTAGGTGTTGGAGGTAAGTAGCCATACCTCAAAACCGAAAAGTAAAAATTCCAGGATTAATTGAGCTTTTTAAAAGACTTGAAAGACTGCATTTTAAAACAGTTACCCTAAAAGTTTGAACAATTTTTTCAGTTTGTTTTTAAAATGGTGGCCTTAAATTTAAAAATTAAAACTAAGTAACACCACTATGTGTCTGTCATCACATTATAAAACTGCACCATGTAAAATCTGTGGCAAATGAAAAATTGTTTCAACAGAGGGGTTCTGTTTTAATAGTCGTCTATGGTACTCTCGAGGAACACGTTTCGAACATCCAGAATGGACGCTAATTCCAGAATGTGCTTCTGGAGATGAGGGTTCTCCACTGTTTCATCCCTCGGCAGTTGTGGGTATGATTCTGGATAATTTCGTGTTTCCTGGTAGGCAAAGAAGAAAAAAGTCAAGTTTTATAGTTTAATGAAAGAAGTTATATACATTAGTAATATTACTGCTAATATTAAGAGTATTAGGAATAACTTAGTATTTCTCTCCTTTATATTAGTATGATTCTTAATAGTAGTGTATCTGTTGACCATGTGAAATTGCTGAAATTTGGCCACTTTGACATTAAAAAATGAGTTTCATATAGTATATGGTTCAACCTAATATATTCATTTAGTGAATCATTTCACAAGTATTTATTGGGTCCTATCATTTCTGAGCATTCTGCCATATTGTAGAACTCACGTAATTCCTAATTGTTATGGGAAAAGTCCTAGCATATACAGGATTTTAACAAGTATTTGTTAAATGAATGAATAAATAGATGTTACAGCAGAACTTTGAGTGAGAGGAAAGACATTAGAAGCACTGAAAAGTCAAATTAATGATGTATGGCAATTGATTATATGACAGAAATGTCAAATGACTGTTAAGACTTTAGGAACAGGTGACATGAGAGGAGCTGGGATCCACTGAGAGAAAAAGAGAGGAGAGGAAATAATTTGGAGAGAGTACAAAGCTTCAGGTTTTAGGTATATTTACTTGAAGTAATAGGGTAATACAAATTGAACTGCCCCTCAAGAGGAATTTGAAAATTCAGGTCTGCGTCTCAGAAGACAGGTGTGAACAGTATATGTAAACACGCATATAATCTCCATGGAGATAAATATTAAAGTCAGGAAAATGGATGAGATTTCTAAAAATATTAGCAAAGAGAATGGAAAAAAAAAAAAAGAATCCCTAAAAAGGGAGAAGAAATAACAACCGGGAAAAAAAAAAAAAAGAGGAAAAAAACCTTTTTGTAATTACATGGAAGCAAAAGAAAGAGAATTTAACATAACAGGTTATTCTCACTTGGAAATTCTTCTGTATTTGGTAATTTCTATATACTATAATTTTGCCACTCATTTAAAATTTCTTGGAGAAATAAGTCACTACTTTTCTATGCATCCCACCTGATAGTTCATATACTCAAATGTCACTTCTATCTCTCTTCAGACTGTAGGCTTTACTTATTACAATTATAAAGACCAAATTTTTGTATTACCACACTAAATATTATGAGGAGTGACAAAAAATGAAATGTTCAAAACCCCTAAAAAGAAAAAAGAAAAAAACAAAAACCACTGGGGGTCTATTGTAAGGTGAATAATTCTCTCAGCTCACACAGGGCTGAGTGATGTTTGAGTTCTGACCAAATACTTCCTAGAGTACAGAATATCTATCTGTTGAAACAGAGAACATATGAAAGAGACCCCAGAAAAATTATCCCTCTTAGTATTGGGCCAAAATAAACCTACATTGATAAGCTAACATTACTCTAAAATCTCCTAAAAAGCTTAAAAACAAGCCATGAAAAGGTCAGAGAAGGGTGGCTCAGTTGGTTAAGGATCTGAGTTTGGCTCGGGTCATAATCTCATGTCTTGTTAGTTTGAGTCCCATATCAGGTGAGCTCATGCCCCACTTTGGGTGAGCTCATGCTCTGCTTCAGGTGATCATGAGCACCACATGGGGTGTACATGAGCCCTGCTTCTCTCTCTCTGTTTCTCTTCCTCTCTCTCTCTTTGTCCCTCCTGAGATTCTCTCTCTTTGCTCCTCCTGAGATTCTCTCTCTTTCTCCCTCTCTCCCTGCTCCTCACTCACTTGCGACCACTCTCTCTCTCAAAAAGAAAAAAAAAAAAAAAAACAGAAAGAAAAGATAAGAAAAAAGATCAAAGAAATTTGCAAGTGATTTAACTCTTGCTAGAATAAAGTCCAACATTCTTTAAAGACAGCAAAGTCTAGAATTCACCATAAAATTCAAAATGCACACACTCTAAAAGAAAAATTATTAGACGTACAAAAAATTAGTAACACAAGACCTCTACCTAGTAGGAAAAACCATAAAAAAAACCTATAAATGATAGAGAATATAATATTAGCAGACAAGGACTTTAGCTCTTACACATACATTCAAGGGCACAAAGGAAAACAAAATGAGGAGAGAAACAGAAAATATTAAAAGAATCAAACAGAACTTCTAGGGATAAGAAAAATGTAATTCCTGAAATGAAAACCTAGATGGAAAGTTAACAGCAGATTAGATACTGTGGAAGAAAACATCAGTGAACTTGAAGACCTAGCAATAGAAACTGAAACAGAGATTTTTTTTGTTTAATGAAGAGCAAATGAAGTGATGTGAAGGTTAATAACAGTTGTCTAATATATATGTAACTATGTTCCAGAGAGAATGAAGAAAAACATTTGAACAAAAATGGCAAAGGTATTCCTAAATATTCCAAAACTATTCCATAGATCCAAGATGCTCAATGAACCCCAAGGAAAAAAGAAAGAAAGAAAGAAAACCCTATCAAGGTACATTATAATCAAATTATAGGAAATCAATATGAAGATAAAATCTTAAAATTACTCTGAGAAAAATGAAAAAAAATTACGAATCAGACTAATAGAATAGTATCCAGAAAATCGGTAAAGATACAAAAACTATTAACAGGTATTCACAGAACTCTTCATCTGACAGTATTGACAGTAGCAGCAAGCATATTTCTTTTTTTCTAATTTTTTAAAACATGTATATTTATTTCACGTGCCCATAGAATATTTACTATGATAGACAACTATCTGGATGATAAAGCAAGTCTCAATAACTTAAAAGGAATATATAAGGTATATTACCTGGCCACAAAGGAATTAACAGAGAAATCAGTAAGATAATGATGACTTGAAAATTTAGATATAAAACATGTTCTTACATAACCCATGGCTCAAAAAATATCAAAAGTAACATAAGGACTGCTTCAGAGAAATAAATAATGAAAGAATTAATCACCACCAGAACTTCACTATGAGAAATGATAAAAAGGGGTGCCTGGGTGACTCACTCAGTTGATTGTCAAACTTCGGCTCAGGTCATGATCTTACTGTTCGTGTGTTTGAGCCCCACATCAGGATCTGTGCAGACAGCTCAGAGCATGGAGACTGCTTCAGATTCTGTGACTCCCTTTCCCTCTCTCTGTCCCTCCCCTGCTTGTGCTTGCAATCTCCTTCTCTCAAAATAAATAACTAAATAAATAAACATTAAAAATAAAGAAATGATAAAGGAAATTCTATGGTAAGAAAAATGGTATCAGATGGAAAACTGAATATATTAAGAAATAAAATAAAATAAAATAAAATAAAATAAAATAAAATAAAAAAGAAAACACTAAAAAAAGAAAAACAACAGAGATGTTAAAATAAAATTCTAAGACAAAACCAAACCAAACCTCAAATAATTCAAATAAAGATGAAGGTGGCAGAGAAAGAAAAAAGGTATAAACTGCAGTTAGGACAAATAGATAACAAATAATAGCATATTAAAAAATATTTTTAATGTTTTATTTATTTCTGAGAGAGAAAGAGAGGCATTGTGAGCAGGGGAGGGTCAGAGAGAGAGGGAGACACAGAATCCGAAGCAGGCTCCAGACTCTGAGCTAGCTGTCAGCACAGAGCCTGTCATGGGGCTGGAACCCACAAACCGTGAGATCACGAACTGAGCCGAAGTCAGACACTTAGCCAACTTAGCCACCCAGGCACCCCTAAAAAAATTTTTTTTAATGTTTATTCTTGAGACAGTGAGTGAGACAGAGCATGAGTAGGGGAGGGACATGGAGGGGGAAGGGGGACACAGAATCTGAACCAGGCTCCAGGCTTTGAGCTGTTAGCACAGAGCCTGTTATAGGGCTCAAACCCACCAACTGTGAGATATGACCTGAGCCAAAGTCAGAAGCTCAATCGACTGAGCCATACAGCCACCCCCTAAATAATAGCATAGTTAAGTCAAGCTATGTTAAAAATTATATTCAATTATTTATTTTTAAAATTTTTATTTTATTTTTTTTAATGTTTCTTTTTGAGAGAACGACAGAGTATGAGTGGGAGAGGGGCAGAGAGAGAGGGAGACACAGAATCTGAAGCAGGCTCCAGGCTCTGAGCTGTCAGCACAGAGCCCGACACAGGGCTCAAACCCACAAGCCGTGAGATCATGACCTGAGCTGAAATCGGATGTTTAACTGCCTGAGCGACCCAGGCACACCTAAAAATTACATTTACTATAAATATAATTTAAAACTAAAAAATGTCAATGGAAAGGTAGAGATTGTCAAACTAGAAAAAAAAGCAGGACCTAACAAATGCTATTGAAAAGAAATCCACTTTAAGTAAATATAAAGAGAGTCTAGGTTAAAGTTAAAGGATGAAAACAGATTTACCATGCAAACACACACCAGAAAAAAACAGATATGATCATATTAATATAAACCAAATAGACTGCAGATCAAGGAATATTGCCATGGATAACAACAGACATTTCATAAATGAAGGGGTAATTTCAACAAGAAGGTATAACAACCCTAAGTACGTATGAACTCAAAAACGGCTTCAGGGGCGTGCGCCCGAGTGGCTCAGTCAGTTAAGCATCCAACGCTTGGTTTTGGCTCAGGTCATGATCTCAGTGTTCACAAGTTTGAGTTTGGCATTAGACTGCACTGTCAGCGCGGAGCCTGCTTGGGATTCTCTTTCTCTCTCTCTCTGACCCTCCTCCACTTGTACTGTCTTTCTCAAAATAAAGATATAATAACAGGGGCGCCTGGGTGGCTTAGTCGGTTAAGCGTCCGACTTTCGCTTAGGTCACGATCTCGCGGTTCGTGGGTTCGAGCCCCGCGTCGGGCTCTGTGCTGACTGCCAGCTCAGAGCCTGGAGCCTGTTTCAGAGTCTGTGACTCCCTCTCTCTCTGACCCTACCCTGCTCAAGCTGTCTCTCTCTTGCGCCTAGAAATAAATAAAAAGTAAAAAATAAAAAAAAAGATATAATAACAATAAAAATTTTTAAAAAACCAGCTTAGAAATGCACAAGCAAAAAACATGTGAAGTGAAAAACCAATCAATTCACAATTCTA